TGGCCTCATAGTCTCTTCGACATATGAACTCAACCCTCTGCCCAAAAAGCTGAAAATATTAAACATTTTACCACACAGCATCAGTCTTTCACAGTGCAAAGAAATGTTTTCTGGCCAGGTGAGGTACAGTAACTGTCAATAATGGTATTCTTGTTGGTTGACAATTATGAAAACACAGCGGGGGTGCAGTGTATGCTATATAATGTAATGAATGATAAGTTGAGAGATACTAGCATCGAATTGGGATATGATTTGATGCAATGTTCTGCTTTGTTAGATTGTTACCATCCTTGTCAGTCATTGACTGTCCTTTTCTTACATACCACTAGGCATCAATAGTTTTCATATGCTACTGATATCTGTCTAGACTTTGGATATTCCTAGGATATCATTTAGGGTACTGCTGACTCAGTTTCAGTTTAGTACAAATTGGTGTGAATATCTTTTCCTTGGAAAGAAGCAAGAAATGCCTTTGACAGTGAATCAAGCACAGGGAGTAAAAATATTGTGAAGAACACTTCTTTTGTTACTCACTCATGTTGAGAAATTATCAGTAAACACGTCGCATGACTGATTGGGCCGGGTACATGGCATGAAATGGATTCTTATAAAATTTCTTTTGAACATGACTGAAAGAAAATGACATTGCATAAGATTTATTAATGAAAATCAAAAGAAGATGTGTTTTATTTTTAACTATAAGCTTAGGTCCAACAAAGTAAAACTCATAATAGCTCTCAAAAAGCACCTTCAATCAGTGGTTAAATGGAACAAGAAGTGGCTTGTAAATTTTAATATCTCCAAAACAAAAACTGCTTTCATTCAATCACAACACAGAACCTTTTCTGCTTTCTATCAGCAAATCTTTGCACTTTGTTAGGTACACATTTTCTAATGATATGAAGTTGGTTTACTGTGTTGTACCAGACAATTTTTTTTTTGCCAGAATCCATCTTGCATATTTATAAATCTACAATTTGTCCATGCATTGAATATTGCTACCATATCTAGTCTGGTGCTCCTAATATATATCTTGAGATTTTTGACAAAATCCAAAGAAGGGTCTGTAATGTAATTGATCCTAACCTCCTAGCATCTTGACTTTAGTCAGTTTCCTACTGCCATAACAGAAATTCTCTGTCTTTTCTATAAATATTTTCATGGCAATTTTTCTGATGGACTTTACTCCTTGGTGCCTAAACTGCAGACTACTAGATTGGCAACTCAATCTCACTGTTTTAATGTCGAATTAGCTAGAGGAAACTGTATCTTCTATTCTAATAGTTTCTTTTCTCACACTTCTCACCAGCTTTCTTGCTTCCATGCCATCTGCAAATGCAATGTCAATCACTATCTTCTGTCTTTCTGAATCCAGTTCTTTCATTGCCCTTTCTCTTCACTAAATTCTTCTCATTCTCTTTCACACTCAGTAATCCTTTTCATTATTATTGCCTTGCTTGGGATGAAATGATTTTAAAATAATAATTAAAAAATTTAAACAATCTGAGTTACATGATTGCTTCCTTATCACACATTACTCGCATTATACCATAACATTTCTTAACTTTCTAATGATACTGAAGAACAAATTTATCCTGATATATTGTTTTCGTCATTTCCTCTATTAAATCTATGTTCAATTTATCAGTGCAGTTACAAGAATAAGCAATTTGTATGATGACATTGGCTAGCTTTGAAACTGAATCTTCTCTCCAGACCTGTATTTATTTATGAGTAAATTTGTAAGTCTGCATTGAGTCTTGAAGTACACATCTGTTTTTGTATTAAATAACTAGTGATTAATATTAAATTTGAAATTGAATGAAAGTAGCAATCATTTAAATAAATGTGAATGTCAATTCAATAAATGCCACTTCAAGTTAAACTTGGCTGAAAACCCACTGACTGGATTAAAATGCGTTTTTTTTATTATTTGATAACATAGTAAAAATGAATTCAATTCCTGCGCTAGATAGAAACAACACAAACATGGTGAGTAATAAGTAAGTAGTTCTAAATAAGAACTAGATGAGATATTCCAAGATATGATCATCAAAATGAGAAGAATCTACCCTCATAGATTAGATAAAGGGCTCAGTTCAAAATTCCCTGAAGGATGCTTAAATCAACAAACACCTGATGAAGGCCAGAGTGTATAATGGCTGAAACATTGTGATAACATCATCAAAGATGAGGACAATAGTCTTAATAATGTTAAATAATGATAACTCCATAGCCTAGAAATTCAAACAGAAACTTTACCAAATTGCATATATCTGAGATGCTTGCTTATAGGTTAATTTTTTAAATTAATGATTATAAAATAAAGGTATTTCAATACAAATCTATAATTTCAAAGCTTTCTTATTTAGGACAATAAACGTATATCATGTGATCTATTGAATCCTTTTTATCTACTTGTTATACAGTTCACTATATAACAAGTAAATAAAAATGATTCAATTTATATTAGTTTGATGTCTTCAGACAAAATTAATAACTTAATGACTTTCATGAAGCCTGTCTCCATTTAATAAATTTCCTTCTTTCAAAGAATTCACAGCAGGTGCAATATTTTTGATGGTTTATTCAAAATTTAATGAAGGCTATGTGTCAGATTGTGAACTTAATATATTTTGAGTTCTGTTAGATACATCCTATAATTGATACATCCTATAATTGAGTCATCCTATAATTGAGTCATTCATATAATTTCTTGTAAAAGGTTTCATTATCAATGATCCCTACTAAAGTTAATCTATCAAGTTTTTATGGTGGTGTGGATCGATTATCAACTATTTGTGATTTGTTCAAAATATCTCAAAGGTCATTAAACATTATATGTCAATCAGTAAAAATTCCATACTGCATCACCTGAAAGTAAAAAGGTTTTATCTGCACTTTTTGTAATTTTATAGATATTTGACTTCAAAGTTTGGCTAACCATAACTTTTTCATAAAATGACAGAAACATGTCTTTATATACCATACTAGCAGTAGAGCCCGGCATTGCCCGGGGATGTAACAGTAAGAGATAGATCAAGTATCACCATCATAAAGACTGAAAAATAAAATTGACAAAGATTATTGTTTAAGGTTGACAGACATGCATGTCTTAATTAGCTTTTTTTTTTTGTTTTTTTATGAATTGGTCAAACCCAAACTCAAACAAAAACATTGTTTTCAATCATTATGAGTCTACCGATTGAATAGAATTTTATTATAAACAATTGTCTTGTAAATGGAATTTTTAAAGCATTCTGAATGTAAAAATAAAGAAAAAAGTGTGCAAAACAATAAGAAACACTACCTGCCCCCAAAAAGTGAAGTTTTGTTGAAATCGGTTGAAAAATGTAGGAAATCTGATCCCATATATAAGTGAACACACACACACACACAAACAACCTGGGTTTTATGATAAGTATAACTTGATATGAGTTGTCCCCCTTTCATTCTGGTGACAGTGATGCCTCTTAATTGTGTTTTCAAATTGATTTCATGCAAAAACAATTGTGTTTTTCCAATTTTTGGTGCTGTCAGAACCACCGCAAGGTAATTTTACATAGTCCTGTGAAGTTTTGTTGAAATCGGTTGAAAAATGTAGGAAATCCAATCCAATATATAAACGAACAGACACACACACACACAACCTGGGTTTTATAATAAGTATGATATAATTTTATCAGAATAAATAAAGAATTTTGTACAAAACATAAGTGGACATATAGCGTATTTGTTGTAGAGTAGTCAGTACCCCTTCAGCACTCTACCAGATGACCTGGCTCATAGCCTTAAATAGTCTATGATTAATGACTTCAACTTGATTAATAAGTTGATACTAAGCTGATTAATATTCGGATTGATCTTACTTCGTTTGACTATACAGCATTTGACCCTCATTTTTTCCTTGAAAGTTGTCTTGTTAATTGTTTTGTAACTTATTGTTCTGTGTTTTTGTATGTATCCATTAGCACCGGATACTGATGCTGAATAAATGTATTAAGCACTCACCATAATAAATAAAACAAAAATTGCAGTTAGAACGTCAGTTGATGACAAGCTAAGAGACTTTTTTCTGGTTTTATTCTAATCTTGTGTTATGCAAAGCAGATTCCAGAAGTTTCGAGACTTTTTCAGGAAAACATTCATTAATTTCAAAGAAATATAGAAACTCTAATCTCCTTCAAAGTAGGATCCCCTAACTTCAATGAACTTGTTGTAGTAGTCCAGCCTTCAAAACGACTGCCCCTAAGGTTCTCCTTAAGCTTGAGTAACAACCTGAAGTCATAGAGAGTAAGATCTGGACTGTAGGGAGGGTGAGGGACAGTTTTGATGCTCATTTCTGTCAACACAAAATTTTATTGCGTAGAAAGTTTCCAAATTGACTTTACTTCCCGATAAAATTATGCAAACTAGTCAGCTTATTAGATGTATAGTAATGATATACTAAAATTACAATAACCCAGGACAGTTATAACTGCCTCTCCTTAAAACGTCTCAAAACTTCTGGAATGTACTTCATACTTGGTACTGAAATGGTCAATTAACAAAACAAATCATACTTATGTTGCTGATTGAATAATATAGTAATTAACATTTTTAATTGAATTGTTTAAGGACTTTTGTTGATCCATTAGTGGCTTGATATGTATGAAATGATTTCATAGTTCATGTCTGTAATAAATTAAATGTAAGTAGAGGTACAGGTTTCTGTGTAGAAGAAACTTTATTTTTCTTGCAAGGTTTAATCTATAGATATGTTTGAACATCAGCAAGTAGAACTGAATATGTTAATTTCAATTGACTGAAACCAGAAAATATTTTTAGATTTTTGGATATAATAATAACTGACTTATACAAGTCCTTCTAATATAGATAGGTGCAGAACAGGTGACTTCATACCTTTCCCAAGCAAATTTGCGCATAAGTGAATTTAGCAAAACCAACTGGAATTTCCAATTCGGAGTCTTTATCCATTATACTACACACATACATCCAAGCTTACAGCACCTGGTATTCCCAAGTGGTCACCACTCTAGATACTGACCAGGCTAAACATTGCTTAACTTTGGTGATCATACAAGAAAAGGTGTTTCAACATGATATGGCCATAAACCTGTGAATGTGTTAAAAACAATTATGTCTATAAAAAATGTAGTATAAAGAAGCACAATAGTTGTGAACTCTTGGAGATGACATGTTTTTATCATGTGCTTTTTGCATTTGCAACTTTTCTTTATTTGTTGATACCGACCAGTTAATAAAAGTAATGTTCAGCTACCTGCATCCTCATTAATTTAATCAGTAAAATATTTCGAAAGCAGTGAAAAACAGAGTGCATTGTCAATTAGTGAGAACAAACAGATTCGACAGACATCTCCTTTGACCTATTAAAATGTCAAGGTGCCACACCAAGTAATTCCATTTCTTAACATCTCTCAGAATAATGAAATTACTTGCCAGTTTCCATATGCTTTCAAGTAACATGTGACAGGTTGTACTGGGCTACATGGCACCAAAAAGAAGGAATGACTCATTATTGAAGGCTCAAGATGGATTGACTTTGCAGGATGAAAAACCTCTAACAGTGGTGCTTTTTGCTCATAGCTGTGAGCAAGAACTAGATCCATGTATTTCCCAAGTGCATCCGTGCAAAGTTAAAGCAAACTATTCCAGCCAAAGCTTGAACTTGCTTTACCATTTCCATTCTTGATGTTGTTAACCAATAAGATACTCACACCTTCTAGAAATTTGAAGATCCATCAAACTGATAAAAATGAATAAAATTACTGAAATAAAATAAGAATGTTTGTTTTTTTTTTTATTTTTTAAAGCTTATTGATGATTCATAAAAATATTTCAAGTACAAAAATGTTTCATTTTTTCAGTTTCTTCTCCTACTATTATTTAAGAAAAAAAGAGCTACATTTTGTTAGTATTCAGTCTTTATATTAAAAAGACAATAGTTTCTGCACAAAATGTAAATATCAAAGTTATAAGTGTTTATTTCATAAACAAATGCATAAATTTAAAAAAAGAAATATTACCTGAAGTTTAAATTAACATTAAATACAAAATCTTGTGCTATTTTTATCACTTTTGTTAACACATGAATATATCCTAGTTTAAATTTGGATTTTCTCAATTGAGTTTTCTCATTATATTAGTCTTTTTCAATTAATAGTACCATATTTTTACACAAACTATCTCATAATCATCACACTAGAGCACTGATAAAACAAAGATATCAATGTAAATTTTTAGCAATTGCAGATACTAAGTGGCTATGTTTATTCTGATAAGACTTCAATAAAACAGCAAACTACTTTTATAGGAAAAGAAAACATGATATATAACAGGCTGAATTTTCCCTCTACAAAAAATTTAGTCCTTTACTGCTTAACAAAATGTTATATTCTGTGCTAATAGGAATATATACTTGAAAAAGAAGGTGGATAAAATAAAAAAAAGGTTTATTGTACAAAACCAATACAATAAGAATAAAGGTAACAGTTATGCACAAGGTCATTGTAAGTCAATCCAGTAATGAGTGGTACTATTGGAATGTCGGTAAGTCTCAACAGATCCCAGCTAGTAATATTTACCAACCTCCCCCACAGGATAGGATGTGGCACAAGGCTGAATTTAATGTGGGGCAATCTGCCAAAAATTCCCTGTAAATGGGTTTGGTTCTGTCTACCTCCCAGGATGAGACTCTTCCCTTTGGCATAGTCTCGTTCAGGTTCCTCTCTGCCCAAAGGTAGAGAGTTCGATAAAAGCTAAGAGCTGAGAAACAGATCCCAGCTAGTCAATATTTACTAGCCCCAACCCCACACACACAAGGGTACATGTGGCACAAGACCGAGTTTAATGTGGGTCTTCCGAGCCCATAGGCTCGGCCAAAAAATGCCCATAGAACCCGCATAAATGGGATCGGGTTGGTCAACCTCCCCTAATGAGACTCTTCCCTTTGGCAGAGCTTTGTCTGGGTTTCTCTCTGCCCGAAGACAGAGAGTTCGACCATCTAGCTGGAACAGATCCCAGCTAGAATATTTAGCAACACCCCCGAGGGTTGCATGTGGTACAAGGCCTGTTTAATGTGGGATTTCCAAGTCCGTAGGCTCGGCCAAAAATATTCCCTTTTTGAACCTGCATAAATGGGTTCAGAGTCAGTCTACCTCCCCGAATGAGGCTCTGCCCTTCGGCGGAGCCTCGTCCAGGTTACTCTCCACCTGATGGCAGAGAGTTCAACTATTTAGCTGGAACAGATCCCAGCTAGTCTCTATAGTTCGTTGAGTTACAGATACTTACATGTAGTTACTACCTATAGTATAGTCACTCATGGGGGTAACAGGTTATTCCATTACACCACAAAATCTGATGCAATATAAAGAAAGTGGTTTATACTGAAAACAGAATAAAGCAATACAAAACACAATAAGAAGAATTAAACCTACCAGTAGCAAATTTCAGTAAGCCACTTTATGGTGCATAATTTTTTCTTATCCTTGCTCATTTGTTATATATATATATATATATATATATATATATATATATATATATATATATATATATACACTTTTAATATGGCCATTTTAAAAGCTTGAATAAAATTTTGTTGCCCCCAATAGACTATTTAAATATTTATTGACCTAGTACATTCCAGAATTAATTGGAAAATTAAATATTCTTGTCAAATATTAGGTTCTATTCGCCTAGTTGTCCAGGCTTTCACCTTTATCTGAAAGTAAATTCATCTTTCACCCTTATCTGAAAATAAGTTCAACTTTCAGCCATATCTGACAGCCTTATCTGAAAGTAAGTTCAACTTTCAGCCATATCTGACAGCCTTATCTGAAAGTAAGTTCAACTTTCAGCCATATCTGAAAGTAAGTTCAACTTTCAGCCTTATCTGACAGCCTTATCTGAAAGTAAGTTCAACTTTCAGCCTTATCTGACAGCCTTATCTGAAAATAAGTTCAGCTTTCAGCTATATCTGACAGCCTTATCTGAAAGTAAGTTCAACTTTCAGCCTTATCTGACAGCCTTATCTGAAAGTAAGTTCAACTTTCAGCCTTATCTGATAACATGTTCTGTGTGCCTAAGGCAAGTTCTTGCTCATGCTTATGCTGGTACTGCTATTAACCATAGTCTGTGCTACCTGGCTCAGAGATTGAACTCACAATTTCTGTATCAACAAATTCATAAACCAATGTTTTAATCCTATTGTCTGTGGGACTATCCTGAGCTGAGAATATGAAGCCTAAAATATACACCTCTAGATTAAGTAAATGGTTCAGTTTAAAATCCCCTGAATTTTACCCAAATGAACAGACACTGAAGAAGACAGAAATGTGATAACAACAATGATGGACATTAGACAGAAAGTAAATATTGCAAATCCTTATCCTAGAAATTATAACAGAAAATTACACGTATCATACAAATATTTGTATTTCCCATTTCTATTCTTCCATAATTTTTCATGATAGATTTGTGATTAATCAGGAAAAAAATATTGCTTATTTTTAAAATGTACATGTGTATAATAACACCAACAAGAAAATGACAATGAAAGTGGCAGGTATCTGAATGAGAAGTATTATAACATTCTCTTGTTCACATTTCGGATTTAAAATTGATATTTCTTGTGATGACAATGAAAAAAGTCAAAATTTATATATATATATATGTGTGTGCATGTGCGTGTGTGACTATATGTATTACTTCAATTTTTTTTCAAATATATATATATGAAGAGCTTTTCCAATTTTAAATGACATCAATCCTCAGTACAATTTCATTGAAAACTAGTTTTAATTCCATGTCAAATTTACAAAATTCCAAAGAACTATATTGTCTTTGTGTCTTATACATGTTCTTGTGAAATAAATTACAATTACATCCATTGATCTTGTATATATATATATATATATATATAATACTGACTGATACTTACATTCATTATGATCATGCACTCATCTGTTTCCAGGTAATTCTCTAAGTTTATATTTATGTATAGAAGCTCTTTTATTATTAAATTGTTACTCCATACATATCGACTACATCCAGGAATACCTAAAAGCTAATGTCTTTCTATGCCCAAAGTTGAATATATATATATATATATATATATATATATATATATATATATATATGTGTGTGTGTGTGTGTGTGTGTATATAAAGTTTACAAAGTTACATGTTTACATACAAACACTGAATTTATCGAGTTATGCATGCATATATGGATGCACAGTGTATTTACATGCCAGAGGATATTATTATTAAGATGAGTGAATTTAGCTGCTTACTCCTAGTATAAAATAAATGTGTGAGTTGCATATTCGGAGATAAATATGAGATTACATTGCAGTGTACACCATTAATTATATATTCACTTAAAATCCCATTCATATATATATATATATATATATATATATATATATATATATATATATATATATATTATTTGGCTCATCTAATTTGTAAAGGCATACATTTATATAGGTACAGAATAACTCATTTCAAGTTTCTGAATACATTTATGATCAAAAGGAAATTCATGTGAGGGTGTGCAGAAAAGATCTTTTCATAGAAACCTTCCAAATGGTTAAATTACCAAACATCAGAAATTTCTTAAAACTCTTGATCAATCGGAGAAATTTGTCCTGTACACCAACACAATCATTTAAAACAGTGTGCGATGGATAAATTGTCGCCTAAATTATGCAAAAATGAAAATAACTCTGACATCTCATTTTAACAGATATATTTACCAAAATTACACAAAAATATCTTGAAATTCTAAAGAGTAAATTTATTCAATAAAATCGCCATTAGCTTCAACCCCTGCCTCCAGATGACTTCAGAATCTCCTGCACCTCTTCTGGACAGTCTCTTTAAGTTGGTGAATGCTGCCATAATCCTTGCCTTCAGTTCATCTTTGGTGTTATATGGAGTTTTGTTGGTCTCTCACTCAACTGCACCCCACACATAATAATCAAAGGGGTTGCAGTTTAGGGGGTTAGGTTGCCAGATGTAAAGGGTGATGTGGTTGCAGAAATTGTTTGACAGCCATGACTGGGTTCTCCTGCTTGTATGCCATGGTGC